TTTACAAGGGCTAATTTGGAGTTCAAGCCACTGATCAAGATGCATGGAGCGATGAAGCATGAGTTTCTCCAATAAGGAGAAGCCGAGATGTATTACGATTCTTCCTCCCAAAACGTCATCACATCAGAGTAAACTTAATAAAGGATAAAAGGGAGCATAACTGACTCAGTTCAGATAACTTGAAATAAAACAGCAAAGGCCTCCCATAGTGAGAGCAGCTTGCATCGAACGTGAAGAAAGGAAAAGTTGCGTCTGACTCTCCCCATTTTCTACTCTACTCCCGCGCCCGGCATCAAAACGCGACATCTGGTCGGTGAGCTCGAACGTCAAGTGGAGTAATGAAACATTGTTGAGATAGCTTATTTCAGTTGACAACAAAATTACGTTGTGAAATTACGCATAAGTGGTGCCCGGAACCCAGCGCCAACTTCGCCCACTTTGAAGACAACCACATTTGTTCTAATACCTCTAACCACTTTTTTCCTTGCCTAAAACGTTTCTGAGCAGAGTTATAAACTTTTGATCTAAGCCCCGCCCACTCTGGTGCCAACCCCACCCGCTTCGTCGATCTGACCACACTTGTTCCGTTACCTCTAGCCACCTTTTTCCGCTTTCTAAAACCTTTCCGAAAAAAGTTACGCATTTTTGAAAAATAGCTTTCACCTCAACGCAAGCACCGCCCAGGTGCGCTTACGCATGCCCAGCGCGCTTAAGACCTTGCTAACTCTGTTTATTACTTTTCCTGGCCTCGACGCCTTCGTTGAGTCGAGTTATGAATCTGTGCGGAAAGTACCGCCCACTGCGGGAACGCTCCGCCTTCCGCCCGCAAGATTTTCACTTACCCTAGGCTAACCCCATTCCAAACTTGACCTGACTTCTCCAAGTGTTTCTCCATATTATATCGAATTTCCGTACAGACAAACAAACAAACAAGAGACAGACAGACAGAGCGCTTTATATATGTGTAGTAGGGATTTTATGAGTATTGTCTGGTACACTCTATAAAATTACATTGATTAAAGAAATAAATAAACGGCGATGACTTTGTTTCTGGGAACCAGTAAGGATAATCCTGTTCAGACGGTGTACCTGTTTCGGAGATAAGTGCGATACGATTACAAAATAAGAAAGACGAGGTGGTCGCTGAGCTCGATACTAGGACAATATGAGAGCCGGAGACCGGCTCTGGATTCAGGTTGCTAACGCATTCGGGCGAGCCCCAAGGTACAATTCGTGCAGAAATGGACAGTCTCGCTTTGAACTCAGTTACGATTCAGGGCTATATGGGGCTGGCACATTTTTGAACATATGCGTAGGCTCTATCTATGTAGGCTATAAAAAATCCACAATTCTTTAACGCCTTTGAGATAGACTTTTTTCCTCGCACCCGCAATCAGCTGTAAGAACAGAGGCCAATGACAATAACATCACAGAAGAATCATTGACTATAACATCATTGACTAAATTTCGGTTTCAGACTGTTGGACTTTTCGAGTTAATTCTCCCTTTCACTACCTTAACCCTTTGACGACAGCGCGCCTTTTTGCGTGTCTGGCGCGCGGGACAGACGCATTTCGAAGCTTTCCGCTTCCGCGGCTCACCGTTGAGCCGCGTTGTTCCACGGGTTACACATTTTTCTAAAGTGAATATTTTTTGCTTTTCATGCGTTCTTTTTATGACTCACTTTGAAATAGGTGTAAATTGGGTAATTATGAGTTTTTAACTTTCGTTAGGTTTAATTTTATGGAAATATAGCTTTGAGAGTCGAAATTTATCAGACTGCGCTGGACGATTTAGAAGGTGGTTTTGAAAAGTTATTGGCCGAACCCGACGAGAATAAAA